GTCTTGCTGTTGCTTTGGTCCTCATCGGCTTTCTCTGTCTTCTACGCTGCCGCCGCCGCCGCCGCCATCTACGTGCGTTGCAGCAGCGAATGTGTTTTGGGCGCTAGTTTTCTATGTTTCTTGTCCGTCAAGTAGGTGCTATACCTGTGCTGTTTGTCTCCTGGTTATGTGCTGTCGTACGGTTGTTTTTCTTTTTCATGTCAATTATTTTCTAGAAGATAACAGCTCTAAAACTCTTCCAGAGGATAACCATAAATATCTTCCAGAAGCTTAGTCCTGTGACGTAACGAAAGGTCCTAAATAGTTAAATAGTTAGAGGGGATGAATAGTCTATAAAAATTTCTACAACAATACCTAAGCCAAGTGGTTAGATAATTAAGTGACGAAACGAGTGTTGCGCTAGCCTACTAAAAATACAAGCCACATATCCACAATTCTAGTTGTTATGATCTCTATATCACACAAAGCTTAAGTCACTACTCCTTAAGTTGGTGAGCTTTTAAAGACTAACTAAAGAACCTCACTAACCAAACTAACAAGACACAAGCTAGCTCTCAAAACTAGTTACACTAAACACCCTGTTAGCTTGATCGCATCAGCCATGCTTATCAGCATGATATAATGTTTTTCTCTCACAATAAAACAGCATCAACCAACTTATAAGCCACTGAAACGATCAAGCGAACAGGGTGAAAGAGCTTAGCTACACTACAAAGTAAATACCAGAGAGTGAGTGAGATAATTATACCGCCGTGGCAAGAGAGATTGAACCACTCACAATATATCAATGAAGTCCAATGAATTTCTCAGAGACAAGATGACACAATATTTTTCTTTCGAGGTTCACTTGCTTGCCGGTAAGCTAGTCCCCGTTATAGCAATTCATCCACTTGGAGGTTCACGTGCTAATAGGCATCACACGCCTAACCCGTAATCGGGTGTCGCACAACCAACACAAGATGGGGATCCACAAGCTACGCGTAATCCAATAGAGTACCTTTTGGATCTCCGCCGGGGAAAAGGTCAAGAACCCCTTACAAATTCAATCATTGATTGGGGGCGGACACAATCACCAAATTCCCTCACCAAATCCCCTCACCAATCACTAACCGTCTAGGTGACAGCAATCACCAAGAGTAACAAGAAATCCACAATAGCAATCACCACCTAGTGCCACCAAATATGCAACCTCAAATGCACACACTAGGGTTTCCCCAAAATCCTCTCTTAAATGAGCACCAAGCTTTGGAGAAGGAGAGGAGAGGGAGGAGGTGCTCTTGAAGCTCTCAAGATCAACACTAGAGTTCGATCTCTCACTTGATTGGAGCACAAATCATTGGGAGTGAGAGAGAGGAGAGGAGAGAGCTTTTTCTTCTTAGGGTTCTTGCAAGAATGGGGAATGGTTGGAGGAAGAAGAAAGGGAGGGGGAGGCCCAGCCTTATCCCCTCATCAGCTAGCCTCCCGACCGTTGCATGCAAGAGCCCCTCTCCTGACCTGGAAATTCCAGGCGATGGCTTGGAAATTCCAGGGTGGACGCTCCTCTCGACCATTGGTGCGGAGAACTCCCGCACTGAAAATTCCAACCGACGCGGCCTGGAAATTCCAGGACGGACGCTCTTCCCGACCGTTGGCCTCCCGCACTGAAAATTCTAGCTCGAGCCAACTAAAATTCCAGTTAAATACGCCAACCAAACAGAGAGCCCCTGCCTGGAATAACAACCGAGTTGAGCTAGAAATTCTTGTCCAGACTTCACAACAAGCCCAAAACAAGTGCTATCTCTTCCCAAAGTCACCAAACTAATTTTAGAACTTGAGATAGTTTTTCACAAAGAATTTTCACGGGCTTTTCTCATGCATCTCACCACGTCACTAAGCGCAATGCATATGCGAATGAGACTCACACTTAGTGGAACTAGATAACCATTATAATTAAAGATTTTCTCTCTTTATAGTACGGTTATCTATCCTAAACCCGATCACACACTCTATTGCGTCTTGACCGGTAAAACAAAATGGCCTTAGATTTTATACCTTTGCCTTGAGCCCATTTTGTTTTTTCTCTTTCTTCTTTTCCAAGTTGGAGCACTTGATCATCTCATTTGGCCATCACCATCACCATGACAATCATCTAGCTCCATCACTTAGTGTGTACCAATCCTATCTCAGATTCACTTAGAGCAATGATTAGTACACATGAGGCTTCATCAATTATCAAAACCAAACTAGGGTTTTTTCACGTACATGTGCTGTTTTTTTGTTGTGGTGTATCATGTTACGTGGCAACTGCTCATTTGTTGAAAATGTGGAAGACAACAAATAGCAAAATCTTCCACGAGATGTGTAGTCAGTCCTAGGGGCGGGCTATATGAAAAGGTTAGGGGCAAGGAAGCAAGAGGGAAGGAAGTCTTTCCATTGAAAGCATGAGTTTAGAAAGTTGGAGTATGTTAAGCAAGTTCTTTTGTCAAAATGAATGAAATTCTAATTCCTTCCCAGCCGAGACACCAAAGGCGCATTTCAAAGGATGAATTTGAAACTTATACTGCCTCATTCTCTTGAATGCTTTCCTCAGATGAAGGAGATGTTGTTCCTTGGATTGAGCCATAATAACAATATCATCAATGTACACCTCCAATTCTCGGCCCACCATACCCTGGAATATGCTATTCTGAATCCTTCGGTATGTGGCTCCTGCGTTCTTGAGACCGCATTACTCTCCTCTCATAGGCACCAACAGGACCAGGGCATCTAAATGCAGTCTTGTTAATATCTTCTTCGGCGATTGGCACCTGGTTATATCCTGAGTGGGCATCCAATCCAAGAGGCTTAGTGCAGAGTTACAAGTAGCCGAATCTACCAGTAGGTCAGCTATCGCCATTGGATACTCGTCCTTTGGAGTGGCAAGATTCAAGTTTCAGAAGTCAACACATAACCACTGACTTGCCATTCTTTTTAATCACTGGTTTAATATTTTTATATCCCCGGATGTTCAACTTCAAGGTTAGGGCGGAGATGCTCCATTAGTAAAAGACCAATCTTCCCATACCAATCATCTTCCTCGCCCACTCATTCCCTATCTCTTTGAATTTCTGATAATACTTCTACACAGAGAAACCCTGTCTTCCCCGAGAGTCTTCCTCCATACCAATCATTACCCAGTATGGAGGGATAAAGCATCCAATTGTATTTTCCTTACTTCTGTGGGCATTAACTAGACCTGTTTTCATAGCATGATCTTTGTGCTCTCGGTATTGGTAGGATGTATCTCTGGATTATCCTTGGTATGCTCCCATTGTGGCACCTTAGCTAGGTATAGTAGAAGGTGATCCATGCTTTTTATAAGTTGAAATGCCCCATCCCATCGATAGGGTTCAATCCGTTGCATACCTTTAAGATCCTAAGCTACTCCACGGCTAAATCAACCAATGTCTGGGATTCTAGCTCAAGATTGGGAAAGAGCTTCGTTCCCTCGGCCAAAGGCATGAGTCACTAGCCACCTCTCTTTGTGCATTTTCCCGCTTGACTTTAGCTGGCCATGGATGCTGAGCCCCCTAAAAGAACCGAGTAGAGTTGAGTTCTCGTACTAACCTAAGAGCAGATATGCTGAAATATTTCCACGTTCAAGCAGCTAATTGGTAAACGACTTCTCCGTAACAGTTTGAAGATTGGCTCGCAACCAAAAAAAAAAGAAGTGTTGTAAAAAAAGAATAGAAGGAAGTGGAAAAGCATGCCTCAAGCTCTTCCAATAATTAATTACCGTAAGAGCAAATATAATAAGGGGTTGCAATAAGGCTAAATGCTGATGTGGAGGAGAGAGGAAGAAGCGAGAGCAGAAGCGTGCTGAAGCTTAAAGCCGGTTGGACATAAGAACCAAGAAACCCTGTGAGAGGCAAGTGGACCATGTATTATCAGTGAAAATGTAACTGCTATATGGATGGGCCGAGAAGTAGGTTGTAAGGATTCATACACCCAGCAGTCGGCTGTATTATTAGCCTTGCTCTAACTCAAAGGCAGGTAGTCACACACAGCACAGATAGCCGCATCACATTCACCATATTTTTTTTTCAAGAAAACAAAACATAATTATTGTTATCATCGTGACCATTCAATCATCAATAGATGAAAGGAAAAAGTCTACTTAACTCCTCCACCTTTCATACATGGTCTACTTCACCCCCCACTATGAAACCGTCTGTTTTACCCTCTGAACTTTCCAAAACCGTCTATTTTACCCCCGGGCGGCTTTTCAGCGGCGGTTTGCTACAGTAACAGGGTTTTGCTACAGTGTCGGTGGTTTTGAATTTCCTTTTTTTATTTATTTTCGGTGATTTTTTGAAAAATTATAGAAAAATCATAAAATGAAAAATCTAATTTTATTGGACTCCACATGAGTAGATCTACACAGTGAATATATAATACGGTATGCTTTAGTACAATTTTTTTTTAGCTTTAGATTAATTGGAAAATCCATTTTTTCTGTAATTAATTAGAATTTATCTATAACTAAGTTATACATAGTCTAATGAGTACGAAATTTTTACTATAGTTCAAGCATATAATAATTAGCGTACAAAAAAATTTCACCATAATTGGACCATAGAAGCTGTAGCTATAAATTATTCCAATTAATTATAGACAAAATTAGATTTTCCAATTAATCTAAGGCTACAGTAAAAATTTGTATGAAAGTGGGGTTACCCGCCGCTACTATAGCAACCCGCTATTACTGTAGCAAAACCGTCCGGGGGGTAAAATAGATGGTTTTGGAAAGTTCGGGGTAAAACAGACGATTTTATAGTTGAGGGTAAAGTAGACCATGTATGAAATGTGGGGATTAAATAAACTTTTTCCATAAATGAAATGGTACAAGCCAGTTACTACTAGTAGTACAGGAGAAGAATCGAAGGCAATAAACAGCAGTCGGATAGCCATGGAAATCAAAGAGCGCTGCATCTTCGTTGCCGTTTCTTGTCCCAATGCAGGTGAAGTGAAAGTTACTGATACTACCAGCTCCAGAGCTCGTTCTCGTTGCCGTCGGCGTCGGTGGCCGGCGGCAGCTGGGAGTAGAAGCCGTAGTCCAGGTCCTCCTGCTGCCTCTTCTTGCTGCTGCGGGAGTTGCCGTAGTAGTGCACGAGCGCGGCTCCGCCGAGGACGGCGAGCGTGAGCGCCTGCGCGTGCATCCTGGCGTGGATGAGGCGCAGGCTCGTCGCCCGACGCCGGCTGTACGCCACCGACGCGCCCACCGCCGTCGCCCACACGGCTCCTGTACGCACAGCACAACAGCGTATCTGTGAATGATGAATCTAAGGTAGCTTTGATTTGACCGCACGATCTGATCTGATCTGAAATTCCGAACTGAACTGAGAGGGGAAGGGGATCGAAAAAACAGAGGAAAAATCCAAAAGGGGAGGGGATTGGAATGCGATCGACGGGGTTCGGAACTTCAGTGTCAGTAATTAAGTGGAGGAGGACGAGTCACGACTCACCGATGGTTGAGAGCTTGTGTTCCTCCACCCAGGACTGCACCGACGAGCTCATCCTATCCATCTCTCTTCTTCCCTCGATCTTCGATTCGATGGACGATCTTTCCTCGAAACGGTCTGCTAGCTATCTGTGTCTTTGGATTTGGTGGAGGCGTGCTTGATTGCAATGATGGGATGGATAGATGGATTGCTGGAAGCACAGCCAGGTGACCTACTTATAGCTGAGGAGAGTGGAGTGTGTGTAACGATGGCAATGGGTAAATCCCCATCGGGTATGGCCACCCCAGACCCATCCTCACCATAAAAATTTGGTATCATCAGAATACCTATACCCGTCATGGGTGGGGAATTTTCCCCAAACCCATACCCGGCCAATAATTTATTTACGCACATGAAAATCAACAATTCAACAGCAACCACCACTAATCATAGCACATAAAATTAGACAAATAGTAGCATATAATAATATCTTCAGCAAATTAAGATTCCTTTTCGGCAGCGGGAGGCCAGGCGTCGGCTCCAGAATCCAGTAGACTAGGCGGGTCACGCGGGTGGGACCGTGGGAAATGGCAATTGGGATAGGGTTGGCAAACCTAGGGTTTTACATGGGCTGGTGGACTTCTTCACTTTTGGGCTGGGTATTTTTCACCCATGGGTAAACGGGTACGGGGACTGCTGGAACATACCCATACCCGCGTATCCGATGGGTGAAGGGTTTGGTCCATTTGCATACCCGTGGGTAGTGTGATTAGTCCATATTTAAACTCTAATGGAGTAAATACCCGTCGGGTAACCTGCCTGCAGCCTGCCATGGAAATAGAGAAGGGGGGGGGGAGCCGGAGACGACGAAACCAGAGGCACCAAACGCAGACAAGTGGGCCGTGAGCGCTATGCTGGACCCAGTGTCAGTGACACAGACGTAGCAACAATGTCACCTGCTCCCGCTTACCCGACAAATATATATTAATATTACCTTATAACCCCGCGCGACAGAACACACCATGTCCAACAGACTTAGGTGCAGTGGCATACATGTACCAGCCAGCTATGATCCAAATATAACATAGCATGTATGAACAGATTAAAATGATGGCATATTTATACAGGAGAATCTAAAGATATGATTTGGTGTGGCAGTCGTGATTTTTCGCGGCCGTTATAACATATCGGGCGAGCCATGCGGTCGCTTTCTATGAAACCCCTATAAGTTTTTGAAATCAACCCGCGCTCCAGATGTCCTCTCGAAATTTTTTTACAAAAACGCCTCGTATTATTTCCAAATCAACGCTCGAGAATGGGCACTGGTTTGTTTGCAAAAAAGACCTCCACTTTATCGAAAATCAACTCGCGCTCCCAGACACTCTCACCGTTTTTTACGAAAACATCCTCAGATTTTTCTCAAATCAAAATACAGCCCAACTTTGATTATATCTTTTTTTTCTCCAAAAAAATACGTGTGGCCAGTGGACCGCGCGCATGGGCGCGCCCGAAAAACTAGTAGGACTATGAAAGTAAGAAGTTCTCGTGCTTCGATGGCAGCTGCTGATGTTGAGGAGATGCTGATCTTGCATATGCCAACTATGAAGATAGATGGTTCCGTGGAGAAGAGCGGTGAGGCCAGACCTTCGAGGGAGTGCGGTGCCAGCCAATGAGTTGTGACTCACGTATTGATCTGCAAATGTACTGAGATTATGGTTCTCTGCAGGTGGGCATTGCAGACATTGATTAGAAAAAATGAAGAATTTTGCTATACAAACATAGCTAAATAGGTAGATGAGAAATAATAATTAGTGAAAAATCAGCATCCTATCCTAGAACTACAAGGGAATCTTCGGTGTCTTTCTGATTGGTAGACTAATATCTGGAAGGATTATATCGACAGGATGGCTCACTTTCTGCACACTATCAATTTCATGCTGAAGTCTCCAATTTAAGAAATCTACAACACATAGAAACAAATATATTAGTGATTAAATTCAGCGATCACTTCACCCAGAGCTGAGAAACTTGTATGAAATGTTACCATTTTATGAGCCTTTGATACGTTGCAGTCTGTAGCAAGGGAACGCACCAGTGTTTCTTTGGGATAGTCTTGGTGCACAATGATGTTTTTTTCTTTTTTTGGACTTAGAACATGAAATGAGTATAGGTACGCGTGTCAGAAATAGTGAAGTGAGTATAGGCATGGTGAATAAATAAATATAAATACACATGCACTAAAATGTCGAGATGGTCATGTGCCAATACGAGGAATGTTTGGATTGACAACATATGTGGTTATGTGAAAAGGCAATTGGAAAACAATCAGTTTAAAAAAATTAAGGACATACTTTTGGCAATAGAACCGTATGACAGGCAGAGTCAGGTTGGGATATATGTACTCATGTCATTGAGCCTGAAGGCTTGTTGCAGCCGTAATCGATTTTGCCCCACTTTCTTGTGAATGGTATGTTCAGTGTTCTGTTTACGGTGGCATCTTGGACATTGTATTGTAGGGTATTTCTTTGGTACCTGAAAATGGGTCCAGTTCTGTCAGGTCTGGAGACATACACAGAGAACTCAATAAGAGATCAGGTATAGGTAGATTTTCAAGATGTTGGCATGGCAAGGACATTGTTAGCTGCTGGTGTGTATTATACAGCATGGAACACAGGAACAGAGGGGCTCTGTACAGCATGCATCAAACCCGAAACAGAAAGAGTTACCTTAGGGATTACATATTCATAGGTATAGTGAGAACATCTGGCCAATCTGAGGGGAGAAATTGTTACCTTCTAAGCAGGATGCCGTTCAGTACCACGGATCATAGCAAAAGGTTTAGTGCAGAGATGGCTCAGAACCTATGCAGTTCTTACATGAGGGTAGCAGACACTATAAATTAGACCTGAAACGGTAAGATTTGCATTAGAGAATAAAAAATTAGAGGCGGTTGATGTTAAAGAAAATCTGAGGGCAGTAATAGACCTTGGAGGTCTGAGTACATCAACTGCATATCTCCTCAAAAATTTCTGTCTACACAACGTTATGTGTGTTGTGTTCGTATCCAGGAGGATTATTTTCAATGACCTGTAGGCCTCTTGGAAACGTAACACGTGAGAATGCAACGGATCTAGCCTGCTAATGTAAGGAAATGTAGCATTGTTTGAGTTAAACTGTTTGTGGAAGCCATTATATGAAAGGGCCATCGTCCCTCGAAGCCATAAGAGAAGGAATTTCCACATGCCGCGTAACTAAATTGGGAAATAAAATATTTTGGAAGAAGAGTCTCACGTTTGTGTCGATTGAAGCACTGAGAAGTAATCCGACGGCGGCCAGGTCTTGAAGAGGATGGCATCTGAACAGTACATGATTCTTCAGTGGCAGCTGGTTGTCGGTGATCTGGAAGGATGGACATTGCAAAGAACATACACATGAATACATTTTGTTGGCAATATACGAAGTAAGCAAGGAGCTGGATGTAGGCACACATGTTTGCGGCTAACCATCATTGCGGAGAATGCCATCTGCCCTACGATTGCGACCCGTTCTAGAAGTAACAGATGGCTCCGGTGTTGGGGACGCTGGCAAAAAGGATAAGCATGCATCAGTGTAGCTGAATAACTGTAGAATACAATGTAGGTAAACATGTTTCGCATGTCGTAGATGCATAGCTGGCAAAAGGAATACGAATACCATGAGAAGAGGTGGCATTACTGGAGGTCGGCACACTGTCAGGTAGCATCACACAATGACGCCTAAGTGCCTCACGCTGTGGTATTTGGGACCGTGATGCTGTTTGTCCATGGGTCGATAAATAGTCTGGTGCTTGCTGACTCATCCTTTGGTACCAAAAGTGCCTAAAGTATGTTTTAAACACTAAATAATGGAGAATTGAAATGGAAATGCGAAAGGTAAGCATCTTTGAAGCACACTGGTGTACATGAACAAATCAATCGCAGCTCACAGCCTCGTATGAACAGCACCAAAAAGAAACTAATAAAATGGAGGGCATGGAAAAAAAGGGAAAGCAAATTAACAAATCCGGTCTGGTGTTTAATATCAGGTATGCAAACATTCATATCATGACCAAAAAGGGAACGCCGCTGCTGCGGGGCCGCGACGCGACGTCGCTGCGCCGCCGCGCGTCGGCGACAATGCTAAGGTGCCGCTGCAGTAGCGCGAGAGGGCGAAGGATGGTAGCTGCCATTTCGCAGAGGGGGCATACCGACGTCCTGCACACCGGCAGTCACCTAACTACCAGAGCTAAGAGCGACGACACGACAATGGTTATCAGCGCCGAAGAGAAGCGTTACTTGGCGGATTGAAACTGTACAAAACAGAGGGCGGCGACAGAGGAGAATAGAGGAAGAGGAAGCACGGCGCACCGAAACAAATCGAGATAGTCTCCGGAGGGAGCGCCAGGCCACACTCCACCGGCAGGTACACCATCCTACACCATGTTTGTTCATCTCCAATATCCCACAAAATTGTTGCAGGCTACACCTATTGACCATGCTTAGATATAGGTGCAGTCTTTGATATTTATAGCACTCTCATTCTCATTTCATTGGTGTAGCATACACATATGATGCATGATTGATCATTCAAAATGACTGAATAGAATTTAATAGCAAGAATAAAAGTGAAAAATTGACTCAGGAAGATGTGTATTAGAGTACTCTTCTCTCATACGGTCACTCTCCAATAGCTAGCTCGTAAATGATCTATAACTCCAAATGTCCAAAGCGCATGACCAGTCCATGATCTGAGCCAAATGGTTTGGGGCAGGCAGCATGATGATGGCATGAACAAATGTAGGTGCTCAGACAACCGAGCCGCTCATCAGCCGCACTCCTAATGTCATGGGGGACATGTCTACAGCGAAACTCAATATGCTCTCTACAAATTTTCCTTCAGGATTTAATAGTGGGCTGGACTATGAGCAATAAAACACTTGGAGCAAGTACAAATAAGATCCAAATAACTCTAATTCTAGCACCAATATAATACACATTATATTTTTGGAGAAATTTGGTATTGGTTCCATATTTTTCCTTATGTGAAATAAATTAGTTATGAAGTTTT